CTTGTAGTGCTTAGCATTCACTGCTATTACCACAGCTATAAGCTGAGCGTAGCATCTTCAGAGGTCATCTGTGATTGCTGCCCCCCTTTTCTGAGGGACCTGCAGTCGGAACAAAGAAAAAATCTTAAACAAATGAGATCAACTTTAAATATTCTTTGTGAATCTGAGATATTTAAAAGTTCATAGAAACAAAGCTTTGCATTGAACTTTCCATGTTATATGCTTCTCCTCTAAATCTCTAGCCTAATATTTCTTGGTCCTTTGGAAAGGGAAGTCCTAGATGTGTGTCTTGTGAAACTCTGATGGAAAGAGAAGGTGGGATGATGATCATTATTAGGATACCACTCCAGTCTTGAGATTAAGTGTTGGTTTTACTCCACTTTCCAAGCAGAGACTGCAGTTTCTCTCTAGACTAAGGTTAAATTATTCCTTTCCAAGATGCACTGAGAGGAGTAACATCTGATTCTGGGTGTTTGGCTTCTTATCCAGAATTGTCCTTTGACTGTAGAGAATATTGAGCATGATTATTTCAGGTAGGCAAGGAAATGCATGGTCAGATATGTAGGAACAGCATGTTACAGTTGTCGTTGTATGTGTTAGGGCTGCAAGTGGATGATTCAGCGGTTCCGACAGTACCTGACTGCCAAGCATGGGGCAGAAGTGGTGGAGACTCTTTTTGCAGAAATGGACAACATTTTCATCAAGAGCCTACAGAGTGTTCAGAAAGTGATCATCAGCGACAAACACTGTTTTGAACTGTATGGATACGACATCCTGATAGACCAGGAGCTCAAGCCGTAAGGATGTTCGTGAGCATACAGGTGGCATACAGTAAATGGAAGGCTGCCTAAACAACTTAGCAATGGCCAGTGAAGGGAGGCTCACTGGAAACCCACTGCTACTAACTCCTCCAGTAACTATGTAGTCCAGCAGCACCCCCATGAACACGGAGATTCAGCCAAGCACCAGTATGGGACGGATAGGACTAGATATTAAGTACACTTGCCATAACCTCAAAAGTAATTATGTGAAGTGTTGGCTAAGAGGCAGCCTTCATTACAGAGTTTTAGACGTGGTGGGGTACTTCTCCTGTTGAAGACTATGGGAAACAGACTCCCCAGGAATCTAAGAGATTGTAACAAGAAATCATACATTCAAATTTGGTTCAACTTAGATTTTTATAAAAAGAAACTCTCATAATGTGACTACTAGAAACAATTTAATTGTTTTTTGAATATACATCAATTAAAATGTGCTTTTAAACATATAAACCTCCTTCTGCAGTGTTTGCAACCAAAATATTGCAACACTGGGAACCTGACAGTAGAACAGGCTTTCACTGCAGAAGTAAACAAAGAGCAGCAAAAGCAACAAGATTCGATTTTTAAGATTTTCAGTTTTAATCACATAAAGAGCTATTAGTAACATTGATAAGGAACTTTGTATAACATATGATTTAAGTTGAAAGTGCCACTTTAAGCGTCCTCTCGTTTCTTCCTCTTCCTCCCTCTAACTATGTGTAGTAGCCGGCGTTCCAGTTACAACCCTCAATGGCTTGTCAGCATCAGGCTGATGTCTCTGCAGTGCCACTGGGGACGGCTTTATTTAAAGTGAGCTAATAAACACTGCTCAACTGTGGTCTCGGGTAACAACCCACATTTGTACAAGCTAGTCTGCTGTAGTCGTAGCTTCAAACCAAACTACTGCTTCTGCAGTGACAATCTGCACAGAACGAGCTTGTGTAACTTCCGCTGATTAAGGAACAAATCAAGTTGAGGTGAACTGGACTGAATCACTGTGATGTAACTATAATACTACAGTTTGCCACTGTCATCTGAGCAACTTATTGGGTACTTCCAGATCCAGGTAGTCATATAGCAGTTTGTTAGGAAACTACTTCCAAGGTACATTCACCTCCCTGCACTGAGGAAAGGGTTCAAACATACCCTGTGATTTAATGGGGCGGGCGTTGTTTCATCTAGCCTTTAGTTTTACTTGTATACTTTTTAGGGTGCTGGAGGGGCTCTCTCTTTATTACAGTTGAGCTCAGAATGTTCTTTGACTGTGTATAGGAATGATGTTTGGGGTTAGATTTCCTATCACTTCACTCCCTCCTTCCTGCTCTCCAGCAGTGCCATGAGGTTTCCATAGATAGGCATTTCTGTTAGGGGAACAGATTGGTTAGCTGTCTGCTTCCCTCTAATTCACTGCTGTTCTCTTTACAGCTGGCTTCTTGAGGTTAATGCTTCTCCCTCCCTCACTGCCAGTAGTCAGGAGGACTATGAGCTCAAGTGTCGCCTTCTCAAGGACACATTGCATATTGTGGACATGGAGGGCAGGTGGGTGAAAAACAAGTGTATTGCTCTCCACGAGTCTTAACAAAGTGTGTGAAATGTATCTGAGCTAGTCCTCTGGCTTCTGCAGGCAAACCATCGTACTCAAGGCTACAGGTTTGTCATGCTGGCCTTTGCCTCTCCCACTTGGTGCTACTGCCCTGTGACGTAACCTAAACCACTGAGAGCACTCTCCCAGTGGCCTTTTCTCAGGGCCACAGATGAAGGTGGTGTGAGAGCTGGGTCTTGAACTGGAATTCCTGGCTCCTAGTCTATTGCTCAGACCACACATCTCTCCTTTCAAACCTCATGTGTCCAGCCTCCTGTCCCAGGATGACTGTGCAATTGTGCTAACCCAAGATATTAATAGTAAATAGCTGCCCATTGCAGCTCTCAGCTGTTTGTTTTTCTTCCTGATCTGCACAGGTTTCCAGCCAATGTGCAGACAGTGGATCAGATAGCTACACAGCCATTACTCATGTACTTTAACACCTTGTATTTGACATTGCAGGCTGACAGGGAAGGAGAAGCGTATTGGGGGCTTTGACCTGATGTGGAATGATGGTCCAGTCAGTAGAGCAGAAGGGAATGTGGATACACCAGTAAACGGAAGCTTCATGGCAAACACACATTTAGGTACTTCACTCATACGCAGATGGCAGGGCATCTCACTCGAGGTCTTTAACTGTTTAGATATCAACATACTTTTCCCTCAAGAGTAAAAGGACCGGGTGTGAATGATCACACAGTGCTAGCGGAGTGTAGTACTCATGGGAGGGGGTGAATATTTTCCAGTTTTGGTGTCAGTGATCAAACTATAGGAGTGTTAAAAGCTGATGTGGAGGTAGTAGTTAGATTTTTGGAACTCCCTACCGCGAGAGCCAGCACAGGTATTCTTCACCTGCCAGTTCCTTTTAAAAACTATTCCCAAAGGTCCATAATACAATTGTGACAACTGTTTATTGTGCACATTTCTAATGTTGGTTGCATATTCTTGTTTAGTAGCCTGTAGTAATGCCCAATTCAATCAGGCAGAAAGCATCTATTGCAAGTTTTCACATAGCCCTAAGTAGTTAAATATGCCTTCAGTATTTTCTCTGGCTGTAGCTTCATGCTAACTGATTGGAGCACAGCTTTGTCTGAAAGCAGGCGATTCTCTCTCCTCTTCACCCTTTGGGGGGACTAAGTCATCTGTCACTTTGTTCATGCTTTCGTTTCAGGCTACAACAATGACAGGAAAAAACAGCTGAAGCAGCTCTTCAAATCTCTTCCTACCCAGCAGAAAGTTCAATGCTGACCCAGAGCATGCGGCAAGAGAAGTCACTGAGGATTGAGCTCTTTTGCTCCCTCTTCCTCATCTTGTAGAGCTGCAGTTCTCATTTGTCTCTGGATAGTTTTGCTGCCTCAGCATAAGACTGCTGGCCATTTCTTGGTTCCTTAGGCTTTTCCCTGCGTGGGAATCTTAGTTTTCATAAGCCAGAGCAACAATAGACGTGGGTTGGCTTTTAACTTGGACATGATGCAATCAGGTATTTTGGTGATGGTCTGTTGTGGTTGACCAGTTCTTCGGTAAAGAATTCATCTGTTTTGTTCCACAGTGCGGGCTGTAGCAAGGCTGTCAACTGGCTACCACATACGACTATAGATCAGCTGTACACGCCACATTGCAGACAAAAAGCACTCCTATCCATCACTGACTCTGTATACGTTGCAATGGATATGAATAAAATATTTAATGCCTCGGTGCTGGTAGAAATCCAGAAGAAGTGCTGCTTCACTGGTCCTCAATTTGAGGTTCTTGACATGAGTAGTTTTCCTTTAAAGTGTAAACTCTAAAAGGGGCTATGCAGACTCTGCTCACTCAAATGGAAGCTTTTCAGAAAGGTGGGCATTTGAGCCTCATGCTGCTACTATTACAGAAACACATCCCATCATAAGGCCTGTTGCCATGATACAGTAACAATAACCTTACCGTTCTATTTTATGAAGGCACAGAGTGGCTCCACTATGCTGGTTACATGTTATAATGAAGGGATTTAGTACCTTTGAGCTAGGAAAAGTAACTTTACCACCCTCTTACAGAAGAGAGAATTTTCTGGAAAGCTACAGTGAGGCTATTCACTAATGGGAACCATTTTAAACTTCTAAATCTGTAATTTAAGCCTTAAGCCTACAGTGCATAGCTTTGCTTTTAGCAGTTGGAAGTTTATGTGGATGTAGCTCTAAATCCAATACATTAGCTAGTTAAATACAGCCAACTTTTAAAAAAACACTCAAGCAAAGCTGATAGATTTACCAAAACAGCCCGTCTTAAGGAGAGTGGAACAGGCCTATTCTGGTGCAAACCCACTCCTCCTGAGCTCTATTCAAATTTTATATTTGTGCAAAACTGAACAAAACACAGTGCATATTGGTGTGTATGTGCCTGCCTAGCTGTCTGGGAGATTGGCTGAGAGCTAACAATTACAGTTGTTCTGTTTAAAGTTTAAACACCTGGTGCTCAAAGCTGTTCACCCAATCCAGCAGGAGGCTGAGTGCTAGACAAAGATGAAGGGTCAGCTACAGTTCTCTGTGCGGAGAGTACAAAATCTGCCAAAACAGATGCAGTTGTTTCACTGGCTTGCTAGCTATGCCTACTCCCCAGCCCTCAAATTGAAACCAGTGTTTTAAACTAAAATTCCCCACCCAAAACCACGTTCACTAATCTAGGGCACACTTTCAAGCAATGCAAACACTAAAAATGAAAAAAGAATGAAAGTGATTCTGCTAGGCCCCAAACTCCCTTTGCTGTATTCAGAGGGAATCAAGTTATAGCCGTATCTCTGACTTTTTCCAAATTAAATAGCACTAACAAGACAAAACACACCTACCACTGGCCGCACTAGGGAAGCGATGAAATATGAAGGAGAGCTGCTCATGGTGGAATCACCTTCATTCTTTTCCTTTGGTTTTTGCATTAACTGAGAAAGTGTGTGTTTTGTAGAGGATATTAATATATGATTAATATTTACTAAACTTTACCTGAGCTAGTGTGGGGAAGAAGACCTTCATTTCTAGAGAGAGGACAGCAGGCTTTTCTTGTCACTGTATGCTCCTCTTCCCCAGGCCCATGCACAAACATAAGCAGTCATATTTACCATTTCATTAGCGCAATTAGGAGCAAAGGAATTACTAGACAGGGGATTTATCTAGTCCGCTATCCTGTTGCCAGCAGCAGCTGCTTCCAACTGCTTTACAGAAAGGTTCAAGAAAACCTGCTGTAGGCAGTTACGGGATAATCTACCCCCAGGGAAGTTTCCTCCTAATTCCCCATCGTACACAGCTCCTCCATCTCCACTCCAAATACACCTCTATCTCGTTATAGCGCTGTCCTTGGGAGCCAAAAAGTCTTACTGCGTTATAGGTGAAACCATTATACTGAACTTGCTTTGATCCGCCGGAGTGCGCAGCCCCGCTGCCCCGGAGCACTGCTTTACCGCGTTGTATCCAAATTTGTGTTATATTGGGTCGTGTTATATCGAGGTAACGCTGTAGTTAGAATTTGTCTGAAACACGAGGGTGTAATTTTTTAAACACTACTATAGCTCTGGCGAGTCTTGTTATCCACCAGTGTTTAATCCTTTTTTGAATCCTGCTGTTAGCCTCAATGGTATATTGTAGCAATGGGTTCCATGGGCTAATTGTGTGAAAAGTATTTCCTCCTTTATATCAGTTTTGAATTAATCATTTATCAATTTCATGGAATAGCCCCTTGTTCTTGTATTGAGACAGGATGAGTAGAGACACCTAATCTCTCTTCTCTAGACCATTCATTGGTTTGCATACTTCTGTCCCCTTCCCTAATGCAAACAATCCCACTTCTTCCAAATCTCTTCTTACAAGTTTAGACATAGGATACTGGCTCAGAAGTACACCCTTCAGATTAGCAGGCACTCAAGTATCTACTGTACGCTTAAAAAAAAAAACAGGAATTTTCCTAAGTGTACAGTTTAATTGATTCACAATTCTTCCACCACCACAAGCTTACACAACTCAAAGTTTCTTTCTTTATTCTTTGAAGACACTATGGATTCACAGTTCTTTTCCTCCTACTCCTTTTCCTGCCAATAGAATGCACTAGCTGTGGAGCGAAGTTACAGAAGTTCATACATAAAAGAGATGCAGTTAGGAATGTCCTGCTCCTCTGATTCTAATAATCCCACTCCCACCCCAGGGATGGCAGGCTGTCAAATAACTAAAAGGGCCAGTGTTCTAGCACTTGTCTCTGCCAGTTGCAGTGTCTAATCCACGACCGACACTGGAGCCGAATGATTCCTACCGTGAAAAGATTTCAGAAGCCAAATGCTTCTTAGGAAATGTACCACTCCAGAGAGTAAATATGTCTTCACAAGAAATCTGGAGATTGTCCACAGATTTTGCACTGTGAGTGACAGTCTGAATGCACCTTATCAGCAACGTTGAAGTCGCCACAATGGTCTAGTTTCGTCCTTCCAGTATCTGATTGATTACTCTCATTTCCTCATGGGTCATGGAGTTCAAGTTAAATCCTTTCAGCTCAGGTTTACCTGAGGAAGAACAGGCAGGAAATAATGCTATTGTTAAAAAGCATGCTCACTGGCGCTTGGTGAAAGAGTTCTCTAAACAACTGCCAGTACAAGTAGTCTGGAAAAGACCCTGCTGTATCTGGCTGCAGATTTGTTCCCATAGTCATCACTGACTGAACTACCAGCCACTGGAAACAACTACCACCACCTTAGTGGTGCACAGTGAGGTCTGCAACAGAACAGTCCCAGGGACAAGCCCATAAAACTGGGCAAATATGGGGCTTTTACTGTAAAGAGAATGGAGGGGAGTTATTCTCCAAATATAGTTCATGTATTCTTGGACCTCTTCCCTCCACCCCTCACCTGATTTGTGCTCCCAATCAAATGTTCCCTGACCCTTTTCAAATACCTTGAGCTTCAAAGAGACGGTTGACCTTCACTCTCAGCTCTTTCCGAAGTTGGTTTATTTCCTCGTCCAAGTGCTCCTGATCTGAGAAGATAGTGATCAGATGGTGATAATGAAGCATCCTGGAGTACAGCGAGTTAAGGAACATCAACTCTGAGTGAAGGGGAACTCTTCCTTGGATTCTCACTCGCACTGAACTTGCTGCATTTGTTTTGTCATATAGAAAAAAGTAGGTATACAGTTCTCTTTCTACGAATATGCTCCTGCCAGATATTCCCTTCCAGCTAAGTATAATGAATGGTGAGAGGAACAAGGTTCTGGAGCCCAAACAAGGTCATTTGTAACTGCATTACAACCTATCAGAAAGGATAGGCCATGCCAGTACTGGGAGCCAAACCAGAGGTTTCTTAAAAGTAACCATAAGCTATCTGGGGGAGGTACTGTCTTTTGTTTGGGTGGGAATGTACAGTAACTAATGATCAGGGCCTCTGGGCACAACCACAATACAAACAGTTAATATTTCTAAACCCACCCACTTTCATCGATTTTAAGGACAGAAGGGCCCATTATGCTTTTCCAGGCTGACCTCCTGCATACTAGACTCCTGGGGGGGACTCTGCACCAAAAAATTCAAATGCAATATAATCACACCAGTTTCAATGGTTTTGGTAATTTATTCAAACTACAATACAGAAAAAAAGTCACAATAACTATTTTGGGGGAGGGATAGCTCAGTGGTTTGAGCATTGGCCTGCTAAACCCAGGGTTGTGAGTTCAATCCTTAAGGGGGCCACTTGGGGATCTGGGACAAAATCAGTACTTGGTCCTGCTAGTGAAGGCAGGGGGCTGGACTCGATGACCTTTCAAGGTCCCTTCCAGTTCTAGGAGATGGGATATCTCCATTAATTTCATTTCATAATTTCATTTCATATTCAGCATTTCCTAAACACATGAAAATTGAGTTGCAAACACTTGGTAACCAATACCCTGCATTCCAGTAATAATCCTGGATTTTCATTTAAATTACATGACAGAACAGCAAACAGGGAAAAAAAAGTAGAATGTTATTTTAAATTGCTCAGACTTTCACACATGAAAGTCATACAGTTTTGCTAATCATTGTCCTGGACCTGGCTGGGTACTTTGGGGAGTGCTTGATTCTGATTGTCCTGACATTTTATTGACTGCTTGGTAAATGTTTTATTTGCCCTCAAAGTCTTTTTTTCTTTAATTGGTAAGTAAAATAAATCCTGAGCTGTAAGCTAACCCCATTGTGCCACTTTGGCACAGGAAAAAAAGTGAGAAAGCGCATAGATCTTCCTAGCGGAGGATTCCCTTCCTGCCATTTATAAGAAGACTCCTTTACATCACTCTGGCAATGTAGGGGCCTTAAAACTTTCACAGGTTTTAATGCTCCGGGGGAATTGATGGAAAATGGGAACAGTTAACTAAAAAGAACAATAGGCATGCTGCTACATTTCTGCCTTAGAGAATGAGATAAATTAACCATCAACAGCAATTTTACTACACAGTCAGGGGGCTACATTTGTGCCTCAGAGAATAAGATCAATTAACTCAGGCAGGCTGCTTCATTTGTGCCTCTAGCCTGCCTCCTGCATAATAAAAAGCCTGACCCTTACACACCAGGGAGCTGCAAGTCACGAGAGAGGGACAGAGTCTCTTTCTCTCTCGGCACACAGGTACACGCAGCCCCCTCCTCCCCCCCCGGCCAGTGATTACGCAGGCACGCCCGCCCAAATCTCTGAGGCTGCTCCAGACACGCTGGAACAGATGTACTGCCTGGGCTGCTGGGGACGAGGCACATGTCCCCTGGCAGAATTTTTTTGTGTTTTTCTGCGGGGGGGGGAGAGACAGAAAAATGCAGGCCATATGAATCCTGCGCCCCTGCATGAGTGCAGAATCCCCCCAGGAGTACAGGCCAGAACATTTCACTCAGTTGTATTGAGTCCAGTTTTAAAATGTGCCATCTTTCAATTTCATTGAATGCCCCTTTGTTCCTCGTTTTATAGAGGCAAGTTGAATACAAGTTCCCAATCTACCTTTCTCGCCCTTCCTTTCCTCTCTACCAAGGCGGGGAATAAACTCGTCTTCCTTTCATAGCAGAGATTTTCTGGTCTCTCATCTCGGAAGCCCCTCTAATTCTGGTGCATTCCCTTTGATATGGGGTGGCCCAGACAGCACACAGTCTCAAAGGGAAGGTGCCCCATTGATATGTAGAATGGTATTCAGAGATTTTCCGTATTATTCTCCAGCCCATTCCTTTGGCATCCTAGGACTGTTTGCCTTCCTCGCAGTTGCTGCACAGGACTTGTAGAACAATAGCCAGTGATGGCCAGGTTTTCTTCCTGAGCGGTGACAGGTAATTACACCCCAGTGAAATGTATGAGGGGTTCAAATGATTCCCTCTAACGTGTATTTATCACTGAATTCCATCTGCCATTTTGCTGCCCATTTGCCTAGCTTGGCTGGGTCCCTCTGAAGTTCCTCATCAGCACTCCTCCCTCTCTGCTTTGACCTAATTTGTTCCTGAACAATTTATACCCACCTCTTAAAATATTAATTTAGCTTTTTGCATTTAATCGCCTAATTCCTTAGTCAAGAGTGTAAAGGTTGCACTGTTAAACCCTCAGCACAACATGGACAGAGGCCACCTCACTTCACAGCCAAGTTAAGCGCCTCTTCCTCTGAACTGCGCTCAAGGAAAGTTGTGCAGCACTTTGGAAAGTGCATGCAGGGTACCTGGCTCACAAAGCAGGCTGACATGAGGTAAAGCACTGAACTGGGTGTCTGGAAACTTCAGTTCTACTCCTTGCTCTGCCACTGACAAGCTACTTCCCTTCTCACTGCCTCAACTTCCCAATCTGTAAAACACAGGTACTGGTACTTAACCTTCTCTCTAAAGCACTCTGAGGCCTAGGGATGAGACGTGCTATCTAGGAGCTAAGCTTCCAAGCAGTGGTGAGAATAAAAGCTCTGTATGTAAAAGCTCTAAGTCAGTAAAGACAGACTGGCTCAGCAACCAAATTAGCGCAAGTCCCATACTTCTGACACAAGACACCTGTGTATGTGTCCAAGCGTGTGCAAAAAAACCTTGTTCGATACTGGCTGACGCTTGAGAGTTTACAAGCAGGTTTTAGAAATCTGGCATCTGGCTTACCTTTCTGAATCATTTCCTTAGTCTGTGATTTTGGAAGCTGAATAAACATGTTTCCAAAGCAAACCATTGCTTTCTCTGAAAACAGAAAGACAGCCTGGTTAGATATTTTCATAATGAAACATGCTCTTCTGCATCCTGCTGGGTACAAAATAAATGCAAAATCCACCCAGCAGGCTAGCTTTTGTAGACCCCTCTGTGCGCCACAACAGTCTGCAGCATCGTTTAGGTGTGTGTCTAAGAGCAATTAAGCAAGATTCAGTCTCATGGAACCTGTGCAAGAGTGAGTCAGTCACCCCAAACATTCTACCCGTTCAGTCCAGAGTAGAAAGATACACATTTGGTTTCCAAAAATCCTTCCTTTGCTTCAACACTCTGAAACAATACAATATTTACCACAGAGCTCAGGTAAAGACAGCCATTTTAACATGCACTTCTACTCTGAGAAGTGACTAAAGGTGGCATCGTTCCATGTTTATTGACTGTAACTTCCTAATCCAATCTGCTCAGTTTATAAATTATAAATTTTCTTCTAACTACCAGCTCTTTAAAACGAAATTGGGATGTTTGTGTCAAAGCTGGGTTCTTTCACCATTCCAGTAAAGATTCTGCCATCAGGTCTTAGTTAATCATTCTGTTGCTGAAGTGCAGAGCAGCACAGTTCCCAGCTCATGTTCTCCTGGCTGTGTTAGCCCACAGTGATACCAAGAGTAAATATTTATCTTAGTCCACAAAGTAGGCAAACCTGACTGCGTCCCCAGTGGGTGCAGATCAGCTGAGAAATGAAGGTACAATTTTGCACATTTACTTTTCATAGTACAAAGTAGTTTTAATTTTCTACTAGGTCAAGCACCGTAATTGACCTTTCACCAAATCTACCTCCACTCTGAGGCACAAACTTGCACAATTACATCCGCAGCTGCAACTGTGTGTTTAATCTGCATGTGCCGTTTTGGAAATGTGGCCCTCCATCACTTTGCAGGCAGGGTGTGTCGATTAGAAAGATAATACAGCAACTTTGTGTCAGGCGTGTCAGAGAGCTGAAAGTTTCACAGGTGTGAATAGCAGCGCTAACACTGGATCCCTCACCAGAAGGGTCCGGGTCCTTCTGTAAAGCCCTGAGAGCTTCTCGGTTCTGATTCCGCTTTAGATCCAGGTCCACAATCTGGAAAAGAAACAAACATTCAGATTTCTCCGGCCTAAGGTGAAATCATAACTGTTATGAGCTGGGTGAAGCCTTGTTTTGGGTTGAGTTAAAATCCCACTGAGAGCCACAGGTCTGGACTCACCCTGCAATTAACATAACCGCAAGTGTAAGTCCCTGCCTAGGACAAAGAGCGTGAATCCACTGGGACTTTCTGGTTGAGCATTGTTTTGGGGAGGAGTGTGGGATGAGCAGGTTAGACAAACACCAGTCAGGGATGGTCACTCTAGATTTTGGAAGCAGAGAAAGAACTGTCATGCATTGCATCCCCTTCCTGTCAGTTCTTTCTCTGCTTCCGCAAGATCAAGGGTCAGCAACCTTTCAGAAGTGGTGTGCCGAGTCTTCATTTATTCACTCTAATTTAAGGTTTCGCGGTCCAGTAATACATTAACGTTTTAGAAAGTCTCTTTCTATAAGTCTAAGAACAGATATAACTTAGAGAATTTTTTCACTTCAAGGTCCCAGAAGCAAAGACAAAGGTTTTCATCTCGAGGCCAAAAGACCAAAAACATCAAGACACTTGATCACGGCCTTGAATAGACCAAGAGACTACCTACACTTGACCAGAGCTCGGAGAGCCGGGAAAAATAGAGAACTAAACTATTGTTGTACGTAGTAAAAAAGATTTTTAAAATGTTTAAGAAGCTTCATTAGGGTGACCAGACGTCCCGATTTTATAGGGACAGTCCCGATATTTGGGGCTTTTTCTTATATAGGCTCCTATTACCCCCCACCCTCGTCCTGATTTTTCACACTTGCTGTCTGGTCACCCGAAGCTTAATTGAAAATTAAATTAAAGTGCAGAGCCCCCCGGACCGGTGGCCAGGACCCGGGCAGTGTGAGTGCCTTCGGCACACGTGCCATAGGTTGCCTACCCCTGGTCTAGATAACCCTTAGTCCCGCCGTGAGTGCAGGGGCCGGAGGCGATGACCTCTCGGGGTCCCTCCCAGTGCTAGGATTCCTTGGGGGAACCCAGGGGACGGGGCACAGCCCGGGGCAGGGGCAGGGCCAGGCCAGGAAGCCAAGCCGCGGCCGGGGCGCGCAGCAGAGCCCAGGGAGAGCCGGAGAGCGAGCGAGCTTTGGGGGCTGCAGGCCAGGAAGCGGCGGCTCGGTTCCTCCTGCGCTGCGGGGAGCAGGGCTGCCTACCGGCCCCGGCCCTTCTCCCTCCAGCCGGGGCCCCAGCTCCGACAGGGGCCGCCCGCCCGCGGTACCTGCCGCCGCCCCGCCAGCACCTCCTCCGCCAGCTCCTCCACCTCGGCCAGGTAGCGCAGCACGAAGGCGGGCTCCCGCGCCATGGCGCCCGGCCTGTCCGCGCAAACCCGCCCGGCCGGGAACCGCGGCCCGCCGCCGCGCAGGCGCTCGGGGGCCGGGGCCTCGCCTGGGCCCGCCCGCCCCCCGTTGGGCCCCCCGCCGGAGCCCGCCGCCCCTTCGGCCGAGCCCCGCGCCGCGGTGAGCGGGCGGGACTGCCGGGCCCTTGCCCGAGAGCTCCGCTCCCGCTGCTCCCCCCTCGGGGGTCTCCCCTGTTT